CTTTCTTCTTCTGGATCTTGTTCAGCTCATTCTCTTCATGAACTTCAACCCTGTTGAAGACAATCTCAGCTTTGCTCTCCTTTTTCTTTTCTGGCTCTGCTGGCACCTCCTCAGTTTCTTTCTTCTCCATTTTTGCCTTCATCTTCAACTCTTTTCGCCGGCGTTTCTTTCTCTCTCTCTCATACTTCCTTCGCTGCCTCTTCTCCAGGACTGCAGGGGTTAACTCTTTGGCATTATCCTAAGGAGAAAGATGGACATGAATGAGAAGCCTCAAAGAGTTCAAGCAGAATTAGAAGTGGGGTCTCCCCAAGTTCCTGATTTTAAATTCCTCCTAAGATGCACCACCTGTGACGTGAAGTTGTGACTCAGCTAAACACAGGAACATTTCAAAGCCTTTGCATTCCCTCAACAGCCTGGAGCTGCTCCCTTTCAGGCTCTCACTATTTGGCTTTTTCCTAAAAATCACCAAAGGCATGTTCTCTTTGAAGAGAAGAGATCTTTTTCTCACAGGTTTTTCCACAGAACACCAGGTCACCTGGCAATACCTACAGGCAGCTCCTTATGAAATGGCATCAGCTCAAACCCTGAGCCTGTGAGACCCTGTCCCCACATGCCCTGGGAGGCTGGGGATAACTTTAAGTGTATAAACACACATATGGATACACATTCAGAGTGTCCATACCTGTCCAGAAGCCTTTTTAATCTTCTCGTGGAGTCTCTGACGCAACAGACTGATTGCAGAAACAGAAGGGGAACTCAGTTCACTTTTACTTCCTGAAAACGAGAGGGAGAAAATAAAAATACTTAAAAAGCAGCACCAGCTAAACAGTAGCACTTTCTCTGGCTATGGGAAAAACTCTGGGAACTCTTTAGATGCTGTGAATGGAATGGAAAATCCAAACAAACCCAGAGTTTCTGTTTCATTGGTTTCTTTAGAATTTCCCCTTTTGTCATTCAATACTGCCAGCAGTGGCCTGGCATGCCCTGGGGCTGCCTGGCAAGCCAAAGACAAGTACCAAGCTTGTGAAACAGAGAGGCTCAGGACATCTTTTCTCTGAGATCTGACTTTTCATAGTCATAAAGGAAAACTGAGCTGGTAGGACAGTGATTGCATCCACAGGTAATTCCCGAAGTTACTCACATGCACAAAACCTCTGCAGTTCAGTTAAACAGCATTTCCAGAGAGCCACCCAGTGGTGATGGAACAAATCCCTGTCCACAGGCAAAAGCTTCTGGGACATAAGCAAATTAGCAAAGATCTTCTCAATTCAGGCTTTCCAAACTAGACTTGTGTGAAGCAAGTGAAAAGCAGCCAGTTCAGCCCAGGTCACTTTACTCAGACCACAGCAAAGCTGGAATTCTTACCTGTAGCCAAACTCTCCTTTGTGTTCTGTGTACCCCCCTGTGGAGATGATTTGCTGGCTTGAGGGGCTGCTTTCTGTCCTGGAGTGGGTTTACTGGTGTTAGAAACCACCTGTTTGGCTGAAGGAGCATTCTTCTTCTCAGTTTGCTTCCTGGGCTTCTTTTTCTTCAGTTTCTTGACCTGTCTGCCAGCATTCTCGGGCTGGCCTGGCTTAGACACTAGAAGGCAAAAATAAATTACATGAAAGAGGACAATGCTACATTCCCCTTCAATAACACTCAGTTATTATTGAACACTCAAGTTCCAGCATGGCAATGGCAGATCTTAATGTTCAAAAATTACACATTTTAGAATTTATTTAAATAGACCAAACATCCTCGCAAACTTCCATAAAACCCTAGCTCTCCCCATCCATCACCACAGCGAATGGAGACCATTGATTTCCACGGCTCTCAGTACAACGTGTTCGGGAGCTCCGTGTTTCAGGAGATTGCTTTTTTGTTATAAACCAGCACAATCCCGAGCCAAGCACCCCATGGGGGCTCGGCTGTCGTACCCAACCTCCCACAAATCGGCCGGAGAGGACAGAACCCAAGCGTTACAGCTCCAGTACCGAATTTCCTCTTCCGCGACTCCGGGGCGTGCTGCACGCCGGCCCTCCTGGCCAAACCCTGCAGGTAGGAGTCCTGGTCGGCCAGGCTGGCCATTGCCACCCCGGGTCCCGCAGGAGCAGTCCCGGGTCTCGGAGGCTCAGCCCCGGGTCCCGCAGGAGCAGCCCCGGGTCTCGGAGGCTCAGTCCCGGGTCTCGGAGGCTCAGTCCCGGGTCTCGGAGGCTCAGTCCCGGGTCTCGGAGGCTCAGTCCCGGGTCCCGCAGGAGCAGCCCCGGGTCCCGGAGGCTCAGTCCCGGGTCCCAAAGAGGCTCAGTCCCTGCTCGTGGAACCCCCGGCAGGAAGTGATGGATGCAGGGCACCGCCCGGGAAGTGACGGCACCGCGGGGCCGCCGGAGCTCCGCACGGTCAGCACGGAGCGGAGCCACACCAAAGGTGCTCGGGGCTCTCCTGGGGGGCTGCGACCTCCTCTTTTTCCAGACACCTCCCCGCAGGCAGCCCCCGTTCGCCTCCGCCGCAGGTGCCAAACCTTTCTTTGCCAAACCTCCCTTTACTGGAGGATAAAACCGAGCTCCCCGCTGCACAGGGGTGAGGTCTCCAGAGCACGGGAGAGTTGGGTGATGGTTTGTGCAGCCCCTGTACGGGAACAGCTGCGGGGAGCAGGGTTTTCTTCACAGCCTGCAAGACAATGCTCATCCCCTCCTCGAATGTGCACGCTCCTAATTGTGACACTTTCACAGAGCCTCGTGGCTGAAAACACACGCCTTACAAATTATACAAAACAGTTTTATTAAATCACCTAGTTACAAAAATAAATGGAATGGAAGAAAAAGAAATCAAAAACCAATAGCAAAATTCACATCCTAGGAAACGAGACATTACAGCAGAAAGATGGGGAAGCTCAGCCCTGTTGTTGGAATGCACTGGTGGCTCTGTGGTGACACCGAGCTGTGGTAACAGTGTTCAGTGGCATCTCCCTTTCAGCCGCACAGCTCGAGCCAAGGCAGAGCCACCACAAAAGGAAAGGACAGAAGATGTGCTGAGCTGCTGAAACAGCTGCAGACCAAGCACCAAATGTGTTTCCTTGGAAGGAAACTGAGAGTAACTGAGTATCCCTCACTGCTCTCAAGATTTTTCTCATTCAACAAAACTAAAAGCCAGCATAATCAGTGGCTCCATGTTAGCTCAGACTATATTAACAGGAATTTCTGTGTAAACACTGAGGAAGGAATCAACTGACTAAAGCATGACACTGCTTCTCTGTGGCTTTGAGCAAGTGGTGTCATTGATCCCTCAGTCTGATCCCTGTCCCTCTTCCAAGGGGGAAACACTGCTCTTCCATAAGGGTCTCCTGGGATTCTCCTTCCAAATCAAGAGTTCAAGTTTGTAAAGCATTTTGACAGTGAAAACTGTTGTGTAAAAATACTGTAAGACTCTTTACAGTAGACCAGAGGTTGTCAGATGCCATCCTGAGAGAGCTTTAAAGCGACCAGAATGTCAGTAACTTTGGGAAGCAGAGTAAAAACCCCAACACGCTCACTGTCCCCACATTTGGCTCAAGTTTATCCCAAAGAAATTCAACTCCCAACACTCATACGAAAACAAACTGGACTTCTAATGAACTCTACACGTAACTATCACATTAAAGCAAATCTGACTCTAATTTGTTATAACGAGATTCACTTTGTGTCTACATATGTCTATCTCTTAAGGGACAAGAACACTCCTGGCAAGGTCCTGGTGTGGAGAGAGCAGGGCAGCCATGCAGGGAGCAGGACGCTGCCAGCACAGCTCCCGACAGCAGGAGCAGCTTGCTGAGCACAGCAGGAGGAAGACTTGCAGCAGTGCGGTGCCGTGGCAGGGCCATCCCCGGATGAGCCGTGCCGGCAGCAGAGGATCCTCTTCAGGAATGCTCGGCGGGGCCCGCCCCGTGCCCGTTCACGTGGGGGTGCGATGGGGTGGAACTCTGCGAGGTGGCGACGCTCTGCTCTGCTGTGGCAGCTGCCAGAGACATCGACAGGCTCTCGGGGGACAGCGTGGCAAAGTCTTGTCTCCAGTAGGCTTCGCAGAGTGGGAGATCATTGCTGTCACACAGACTGTAGCTTTCCAGAACAAACAACCCCAGTGAGGAGAAAGCAGGTGGGGTGACAGAAGAGGGGAGGGATAGAAAGGGTGGAGGGAGCAAGACAGAAGCAAAGCATTAAGAAAATGGCAAAAAAAATGCTGGATGTAAGGTCTGTGTTCATGCAATCATTTTAAGTCGTGTGGTATTGGCCTTCCCTAAGACACTCCCCCCTGAAGGGCTGGTCCTGAAACCTCTTGGGCCTGGTGAGGATTGGGGCAATTTCAGAGACAGAACTGTGGCTACAAAATGAAACAGGCTCAATTCTTATCCAGACACTCCAAGTCTCTGAAAAGCTTAGAGCTGAAGTCCTGGCACCCCCAAATATGTGAGCTCTGCTACTGATGAGTGAGACATGGAGCTTACCCACAATTATTTTACTTGGAATTAGACTGCAACTTTTGTGAGGAAAAAATAGAAATCCTGCTCTAAATTTTACTTCAGCAAAAAAACTACCACGATTGTTTTGTGGTCTGTCCATGTCACAATAAAGAAGAACCCTACTTGCACCCCTGCCCTTTCAAAAAAGTTTTTTTTGACCCACAGGTTTGGGTCTTCCACTGAAGCTTCCCAGTTTGATTAGAAAGTACTGACAGCTCCTGCCTTTTCCCACGAGCCTGAGCTAACAGTGCTTCTAAAAGCAGTTGGCTGGATTCCAACACTGGATGAACCAGCAGAGTGGGAAAAATAAGGTTTTAAACAACTGTCTAATTCTTGCCCATAGTCTCAGGAAAACAATGTGGAAGGGCCAAAACTAAAAAAAACACGGAAAGAACTGGAACAAAACCAACACAAATCCCAAAGAGACGAAGGAGCTGCACACACAAGAGACACCCAAGACAAAGTGAGTGCTGAAGCAGAAAGTAGCTTGCATTCAGAGGAAAACAAAACCCAATGGGTCAAGTGATTTTGTTGTTGCAGCTTTATTTATATTTGTAATGTATGGACTGATGCTTAGGGAAATATTTTAAGTATAGAAATATGAGACAGTTCATATTGCACAAACATGAAACATGTGAGATTTAACCCCACACTCAAGACAGCTCCTGTGATCTCAGAGGAAGGAGGAATGGAACACAAATGCAGGTCTGGAAGTTAGGATGAGAGAAGGCAAGCTGGACTTGCAGTTATCACTTGGGGAACAAGCACACAAAGCACTAGGTGCAAGCTGAGCTCTTTTCTGGCAGCATCACCCAGCTGGCTTTGCAGGAGAAGTGAGAGGGCAGTGGATACAGGTTTTATACCTGGAGCTTCTGTACAATCCTTTGGAAGATCAGCCCCCAACACAGTGGAGCTGGGTTCAGTTAACAAAGACCATCAGGACTGAACCAGAAATATAATTCCTGCTCTGTCATAGTCCTCAGGCCACCATTTCCCAGGAGAACCTGACCACAGCATCCACACATCATGGCAGGGGAGTTGCTAACCACGTTTCATCTGTGTCAGAAGCATGACTGCTTCTCCTGCTGCCCCAGTTAGAACAGTTCCAGAGTCTAAGCTCCACCTCTCAGCTAACACTCCTCAAAAGTCAGGGTCAGGGAGCAGCTCTGCACAGCCCAGGAGCACTGGCCAGCCTGCTGCTCTGTCCTGGGACAGCTCCTCAGGGCATGGAAGTGACTTCACCACTCCCCTGAGGCACCCAGCCAGTCTGAGTGCAGAGGGACAGCTCTAGAAATCTAGATCACAGGGCAGCAAAGCAAAGATTCCTTCAGGACAATCGTCTCAGGTTTAGTTTCAAGGACCTGCATTTGGGTCTCATCAAAAGCCCCATGTGCACATAAAAAACCTGGCAAACACTTGACCCTACAACTGAAGAGGCATTCCCAGGACATCAAGGAGCTCCTCTTTGGGGGAAAATAGGCTGTTGTGTTGACAGCCACTGAGACATGGCTGTGACAGAACAGAAAGCCTTTCCCTCACATTAGACAATAAGATTTCATTAAAAATATTGTAGTATTCTAATTATAAAAGGACTTTGAATAAATCACAGTTTCGGTATTTACACAGACACCATTTCTTTGGTGCAGAAAAAGACAGGAAAGAGCACAGGAAGGGAGGAAGTGCTAAAAGCAAACGACCAAGTACTACGAGATAACAAAGTGTCAGATCATAGCTCTGCAGAGTTGCCAGGTTTCCTCACCTCATGACCCGCAAGAAAGAGCAGGAAGGCAAATCCATCTGATGTACACTAACATTTGTGCTTTCATGTTAGTTCTGCCAGCAAGGGTTGCTTTATGGTGCACCTGGGGCCAGGCAGGTGAACAGACCATGCCAGCATGGACAGAACCCCACAGGCCTGACGTGAGAGTGACCAGCACACAGTGGTGGCAGTCTGGGGACAGGCTGAGGGAAACACACCTGGCACATGTGGGGCACTCTCATCCCACACCACATCCCTTTGGATAAGCTCACTGCTATCTCATGGACATATCAGCACCTTCTCAGGTGCTTGTGTTTGTGATCATCACAACCTCCTCAAAAAACTGAATGAAGTTTGAAAAATAACTCTAAACTTTTACTTCTAAGCTGTGTCATATTATTATCTTTTTACTCTTAAAATACATATATTACTCATAAACAATGGCCTTGCTTTCAAAGATATTGAGCAATTTAGTTGATTTAGCTGGGGTTACAGGCATTCAGCATTCTTAGAAAAAAGGAAAAGGCAAACACAGAAAAACCCGGTCAGTAAAGTTTTAAATAAGATTTTTAAAAGTTAAGTGTTTGTTTAGATGTCCTAGAATTATTGCACTGACTTCACTTAGCTTGGAAAGTGCAGCCAAAATAACCAGGTTTATATTTGTTTTCTTCTGCTTTCAACTAGAAGTGCTGGAGTGCATGACAAAAAAAAGAAAAATAAAGTGTCTGAATTCTCTAAAGTCTGTTTGCTAAATAAAAGGCTTTTAAAAATATTAAAAATCCCATAAACAAATCAGTAATAAGTAATTCCTTAGAAAATCCTATCACAATACTTCATAATTCAATGAACCTGAGCAAGTCTTTTTGCTCCTTGCAAATATTGACCCCAGAAGGACTGGAGGCAGCTGGGGCAGTGGGCTGGGAAGGAAAAGGCACAGTGTGTGACCAGGTCACTTCTGAAAGGACTCACCACGAAGGTGAGGTGACATCAGGACCCAGCTCAGCAAGCTGGTCTCTGTAGGGAGAGAGCCAGAGGCTCCTTCAGAGGGATTTCCCCCAAGGAAATTCATCTTCTTTTCTAATGATTACAACAGAAGTCTAAGGAAATTACCTACCAAACCTGGGATGCTGTGAACACCTCCTTCACCAGGACACTTATACCCTGGAGGGTTTCCACAAGGAAAAGGCAGTTGCTTTAGTTGCAGAAAAGGAGTTTGACCTAATTAAAAGTAGAACTGGAAATTTTTGGGAACATTCTCAACAGCTATACTCTAAGGGCTACTTGATGGTCTGGACTAACTACCCCAAAAATGACTGGAGTTGTAAGGCAGAGTCCACTGCCCTATTTGTACCTGGAAGAGTAATATTCTTCTTCTAGCTCGTACAGGTCAATGGAGATCTCATCCCGCAGTGCAATCAGCTTTTTGTCACACTCCTCCTGCAGACTCCTCAGCTGCTGGTTGCGCTGGTTGATGGCCTCATTCACAGAGGGGAAATCATTGAGGATCAAGAACTGCTTCAGGTCAGACACAAGCTTCATCAGGGACTCGCCAGCTCGGACCTTGCAGCAGCAAGAAAAATCACACATCAGAACAGGGCTTTGCTCCAGTTCCAAGATCTTTTAAGCTTCTCCTTCAGCCCAAACTTTGGATAAAAACTCCCATAATATGTGAGGATTCTGACAGAATCCTGACCCAGCCTTCCCCAGCCACCCCAAACATGAAGTGCATTTCCTGGCAGCAGTCCTTGGGAGTGTTATGAAGACCCAAAAATGAACCCAGCAACCCCTGTAGGACATGCTGCCCACAGGGCTGAACAGTTCAATGCTACTCACAATATTTGCAGCTCTGACATGCATCTCGTAGTTATCTTGTTCACCCTGGGTTGCTCGAGAGACTTGAGTTTCATCCTCGATCTAAAGAAAAAAGTACACAAATCCACCTCTGCACATTTAAAATCCAAATAGACAATTGCTATGTTACAAGATATAATATATGGGAATATCTATGTGCACGTGTGTGAATTTCCTGTATGTGTGAAACGAGATCACACATTATCTATGCGAAATTCACATCTGTATGTTAATTACAGTTCAATTCGCATAGTGTTCAAGGCCAGGTTGAACAGGGCTTGGGGCAAGGTGCTCTGGTGGAAGGTGTCCCTGCCCATGGCACGGGGCAGAAGGAGATGATCTTTAAGGTCCCTTTAAAGCCTTTAACACTCAGGATTCTACGAAAGGTCCTCCCCTCTCTGCTCACGGCCTTTGCTCTCCCCTCACAGTCCCTTGTTCTTCGCGTGCCCCCGCCCTTCTCCGCTTAGCAGCCGGCCCGCTCAGGCCCACCTTGGCCGTCTTGATGATCTCGGTGAAGTTGTCCATGATGGACTTGACATCGTCCTTGAGGCGCTTGTTGTAGGACTGCAGCAGGGTCTCCTTGCTCTGGGGCAGCACCCGGGGCTGCGCCATGGCCGCGCCTCCCCGCCCGCGCCCGGGCCCGGACCCGCCCCCCCGAGATCTCGCGAGATCTCGCGCGCCGTAGATATCTCCCGGCATGCACCGCTCCTCCTTTCTCTCCAGCCGCCCAAGATGGTGAGTGATGGCGGCGGCGCGGGGGGGCTGGGGCCATCCGCCGCCATCTGGGGCAGCCCGCCGTCATCTGCTGCTGCCGATGGGCCGTGGCAGCGCCGCGAGGGTGCTCGGCTGCCGGGGGAGGCGGTGGAGCGGTGTTTCGTGCCCGATTCGCGGTGGTGGGGAAGGCCGTGTATGGGCCTGCCCTCCCGGGCCGGGAAGCTGCGGCTGCTGCCGGCCCGGGCAGGCCGCGGGGCATTCACGGGGTAGGTCGGCTCCCGTGGTCTGTAATGCGCCGTGGGGGCATCTCCGCTGCTATCGGAGAGCGCCAGGCCGGGAGAAGCGATCATCACACTCGCTTTAATCTTCTTCCCTCGCGGGATGGTTTATAAAACTTGTAAACGTAAAGCGAGGAATTTTCTCTGGGAGAGCAGGGCGAGCATGGAAATCCGCCATGCTGGTGAAATGCCTGGGAAAATAAATGCATTTCCAGGGTGGGCTGGTAATTTGCCTAAGCACGCGAGTTTCGGAGGAAAAAGAAAACAGAGTGTGTTTCTTGCTTGCAGCCGAAAGGAAAGAAGGCCAAGGGCAAGAAGGTGGCACCGGCCCCTGCTGTAGTCAAGAAGCAGGAGGCCAAGAAGGTTGTCAATCCCCTCTTTGAGAAGAGGCCGAAGAACTTTGGCATTGGTGAGTAAGTGGATGTTTGCGATAGCTGCTCCCATGTGTTTTTCTTGTTCAATGAACAGATGTCAAAGATATAAACATTAAAAATCACTCTAGACTTTGTGCAGTGCTGTTCTTGTGCAAGATGCAGATGATGTGAAAGAATATTTGCTATCTGAGTGGTCGTGCTGACACATTACCACCAAGATCACTGATGCTTCTGTACCATTCTTGTGCTGCTGCTCTGGATTTGGGGCAGCCCTGAGCTAAAGGCTGTGTTTTTTTAGGACAGGATATCCAGCCCAAGCGTGACCTCACCCGGTTTGTGAAATGGCCACGCTACATTCGGCTGCAGCGCCAGAGGTCCATCCTCTACAAACGCCTAAAGGTGCCTCCTGCCATCAACCAGTTCACCCAGGCCCTGGACCGCCAGACAGGTGAGGATGTGCCCCACAAAGTTCTTTTGGCTTGGGTTGTAAATGGCTGTGCCTCAAAAAAGGGAAAAGAAACCAAAATTAGCCTTAACAAAGATAAGGTGGGGTGTGTCTGTGGAAATGTTTTAGGGAGGCTTTAATAGTGACTAGGGTCAAAATCAATTTGCTGGCTTAAATCTTGGATTGCTGCTGTCCCCCTGGAAAGGGATTCAGAAAATATCAAAGCTCTATTTACTGACCCAAACCCTGCATTAAATCTTAACTGTGATTCCATTCTTCCAGCTTGATGTAGAACTACCCAGGATGGTGTAAACAGATTGCTTGAGCCATCTGTGAGAGTGCAGGCTTTGGGGCAAAACTGGCACTAAAGGAAGAAGGGAATTTAGGGGTCTTCTGTGAATGAGTCTATGCAAAAGACTTCGGACCTGTGTAGAATAATTTCCTCCTCATAGATGCTCTTTGGTTTAAAAGAGCCAGTGCACCACCTCTAACCATAAATGCTGTGGGGGGTGTCCACAGGCATTTCCTCATCCAGTCAAGGAACTCTCAGTGTCATCAGAGGCACATTCAAACAGAGGCTCTCAGGGTGCTCTTCTCTTGGACTGTGCAGATGATGATCCCTTTTTGCTCTGAAAAAAAAGTGATGACAACCACCAAGATCGCTGATGCACTGCAGTGTTTTTAAAAAATGGTGCTTAGATTTTCAGGTCATGCAAGTAACTATTAGCTGTTCTCTTCCAGCCACACAGCTTCTGAAGCTGGCACACAAATACAGGCCTGAAAGTAAGCAGGAGAAGAAACAGAGGCTGCTGGCTCGTGCTGAGCAGAAAGCTGCAGGAAAGGGAGATGCTCCAACCAAGCGGCCACCGGTCCTCAGAGCAGGTAACTTTGTATCTGAGCTGATGGAATATGGAAGCCTGGCACTTTGTGGGAGAGAAAACTGATGGAAGAGTTGGTTTGTCAATTAGACAGCCTTGGACAAGCTATGGCAGTGATGTTATGAATTTCTTCACCTGAGCTCAAAGTGAAGAGCAAAATAGACGAGCTTTTTAACCCTGAGCTTTAGCAAATGTCCATTAAATGTCTTTGTGCCATTGATGTGAAAAGTTTTTGTAACTTCCATAATGATGTTGTGCTATGGAATCAGAGTTGGCTTGCAAGAAAGCTCTGAAAATGGACTGAGAGGAATCAAACCTTATCTAGAATTTGTTTTTCAGGTATTAATACTGTCACAACTCTGGTGGAGAACAAGAAAGCTCAGCTTGTCGTTATTGCCCACGATGTAGACCCCATTGAGGTATGTTACAGGCGACCTGTGTAACTTAGGGTAGGGTCAGAAGTGCTTTGAAGGCAAAAATGGATTTTGGGACAAATTGTATGAGAGAGGATGCACAAAAAAACCCACACATTTGCCAGAACTGGGATGCTTGTGCATGTTTGTATTTGTCCTGATGGGACAGTGAGGCTGGGCCCTTTGCAATGATGTTTTGAATTTCTTCACCTGAACCAGCAGTGAAGAGCAAAACGAGCTTTTTAACACTGAGCAATTGCCACAGCCCAGGCTGACACCCAGCACAAATGGATGTTTACCCTCAGTAACTCAGCACTCTCTTCCCTTGCAGCTGGTGGTTTTCCTGCCAGCCCTGTGCCGAAAGATGGGGGTTCCCTACTGCATCATCAAGGGCAAAGCCAGGCTGGGCAGGCTGGTCCACAGGAAGACCTGCACCTCTGTGGCCTTCACCCAGGTTAACCCGTAAGTGTTCTGAGAGCTCACTTGACTGTCTCGTGGAGAAAGCAAAGTGCCCTAAGCACAGGCTCTAAGGGAGGTGGGTAGCAAACTTGGGTCTCTCTGAAGTAGTAAAATTAAAATTCCACCTCTGTAGGGTCTGAAAAAATGTCTCTATCAAATCCCGAAGGTGCAGATCAGTTTGGTTTACCAAATAGGTTGTTATTCCAAAATCTGAGCAGTGCAGATTCTGAGTGTTAAGCCTTTGCAAGTGATGTTTTTGCTTAACCTTAAAAATTGGGTTGTCACTAGAAGCTCTCAAATTCTATGGCAATATAATTATGGAAAATGTTAACTCAAGGCTCTAAAGGAACTAAAATTGTCATCAACAGGGAGGACAAGGGAGCCCTTGCAAAGCTGGTGGAGGCTGTCAAGACCAACTACAATGATAGATATGATGAGGTAAGATTCTCTGTGCTGCTGGCCTTGTCTTTTTACACTGTTAACATTCCCAGAACAGAGAAATTGGACATAGTGACATCAGTTTATACTTGGATGTGTTATACCTAGGTTTGCTTACAGTGTACCCAGATTCTTTACCTGAGGATTGGGTAAAATGTGACAGCTGTCACCAGGTTAGACGTAAATGGCTACCATAGGGCAAGGATTGCAGAGAGGGCAACAGCTTCTGCTACCAAAACTCCATATCCTAAATCCAGGAATTATGGGATAGCTGAATCCAGCATCTCTCATTGGGAAAGATTTTAAGCTTTTCTCTTTGCTGCTCCAAAATGTAGTGCAGTGTTTGAAATGTGTAGGACTTTGTAGTTGAGGGAGCTCTTCCCCTTGTGGAGAATTGAGTGGCACAGTAAAAGATGGAATGAGATCTCTAACCTGTTCTCCCTTCCTTGCAGATCCGTCGTCACTGGGGCGGGAATGTTCTGGGTCCAAAGTCAGTGGCTCGCATTGCGAAGCTGGAAAAAGCAAAGGCTAAAGAACTGGCTACAAAGCTGGGCTGAAGATGTACTGCATTGCACCGTGTTTTCTGTACATAATAAACCCCAGCTGTTTCAGTGGTCTCTGTTCATGGGAGTGTTCTAGGCAGGGAGTAACACAGCTGCATTGCTGTACTCTGTGCCTTCCATCCAGTGACAGAATAGTGCTGGCCACAAACGGCTGCACAGAGCTGGATATTACTGAACTTGCAATAACTTCCCTTAATTACTAGTCCTGTGCAATAACTCCTCTCTTGAACACACAACCCAGCAGCTCAGCTGCACATGCTCTGGGATCTTGAAGTTGGCTGGGATAATTCTGGTTTTAAGCTTGGCTTGGTTTTGCAAATCTAAATTGGAAATAGCTCTCAATTTCTCCTTACCTGGGACTGGGTTACAGTATAGGTTACACACAGTATTACAACCTTCCACACCTGCAGTGCCTCTTGCAGTGAAGGCAGGCTGAGGGGGGAATCAAGACCTTCCTGTGGTTCTGTTCTTTCCTGAGTGCTGACTGTCTGGTGGCACTGTGGAGGCTATCAAAGCCTCCAGCTGTCCTAGCTGCTTTTTGCTAGCCCTCATCCTCTTGCAAAGCCACAGGCTGCCTTCCCCAGCTAGACCTGAGTGTCCACAGTAACCTCTAATTCAGGTTTGCTGCTGTTCCATGTAAGATGCATGATGCAAGTCACAAGGCAAAGACCTGTAGGCCTTTATTGTACTAGAACTGATGCCAGCCATTGCTGACTTCAGGAAGGACTACTTCCTGCAAATAAAAATTAGCAAATAGGCTCATTTAAAAAAAATGGTTTGTCTTAAGGAAAACAGAGTGGAGATATTAAAATGTACTTTACAAACAACCATAGTAGAAAAATGTATTTTGGTTACTACTGAAGTTCAGTGCTCCCAAGCTGCAGCCAAATCACACTGGTGGGAGCTCAGTTTGCAGGGATTGCTTAAAGTCTATTTGCAGCTTGCTAATGTTTGCTGAAATGGCTCTGGTCCTCCAGGTGCTTCAGTTATTTAGGACTGATCAGGCTCCTGTCATCCATAAACATCTGCTGACTAGCACAAAAAGGTTTCTTCCCCTCACAGGGGTGCCTTC